CTACGGCCTTCCTGCATCGATACGAACGGTTCAAGCAGCCCCAGAATCTTGAAGAATCTCTCAGCCTTTGGCGAGCGGCCATCTCTGCGCTACCAGATGGGCACCCAGACAAAGCGTCCTACCAGTCGAATTTGTCTGCTGTGTACCTAGCACGGTATCAGCTCCGTAATGATATGGAAGATCTGGACAAGTCTATATTAGCCATTCGATATGCTATCAGAGGCACTCCAACCGATGATATGCATTGGGTCGTGTACAAGTACATGGCTTCTTCCCTATATTACAAGCGATGGCTCAAGACCACTCAAAAAGAAGACCTCGATCGCGCCATTGAGGCAGGAAGGCAGTCTCTGGCGGCATTACCGAGCAAGCATCGATACTCCTCCAAGTATCAAGCAGAGCTCGCCACCAAGCTCCTTGCACGATACGAAGAAAGAGGCGACCTCAAGGACGTCGACGAGGCTATTGAGTTGTCGAAGGACGCAGCCGTCACCTTCGCTCATGCCTCTTACCCTGCCGAGAGGACAACTACCCCCTCCAACAGGCTTGTTGCTCTCTCGCAGGCGTTCTTGAAGAGGTACGAAAAGACCGATGAGATGAGTGACTTGGACGAGGCCATCAAACATGCCCGCCAAGCCGCAACCATGGCCGACAAGAGTCGGTCTGCTGAACGCCACTTCGTTCACTTTAATTTGTCGAGTCTTATTTATACTCGCTTCGAACGCCTCGCCACTTTGGAGGACTTGGATGATTCCATCACCCACAGCACCATCGCCATCGATGCAACTCCAGGTTCTAAGGACCAGAAAGATAGAGAAGAGCTCGCTGAGAAGTTGTCCGACCTCTCATCCCGCCATCTTACACGATTCGAATTCCAACGGACGCCCGCAGATCTGGATGCTGCAGTCAACTATGCACGTACCGCTCTTGACCTTCGGAAAGCCGGAGATGGGGACGGCCCCTTGGCCCTCTCAGCGCACCCACCAGCTCGCTACGCCCTAGCACTAGCACTGTTTAGGCGTTTCGAACAAGTTGGCGATATCAAGGATCTGGACGGCGCATTGAAGAACGCCCAGCTCGCTTACGATGCAGTGGCCACTCCCATGACCTCGCCCGTCAAAAACTCTTTCGGCTCGCCAACCTCAAAGACCTTTGGTCGTGCTGCCCCGGGTGCACATAGGACAACTGCATCCGATCCCAGAAAGATTCTCTACCAGTCTCTCCTGAGCGGCGTCCTCTGCGCCCGCTATAAGCGCCTTGGTAA